TCCCAGAAGTCCCTATTTGGGGTCATCTGCTGGTTTGGGATTTTTCCCACTGAGGGTCACCAGCAGGGAATAGAGCTCTGGTGGAAGCCCTCTGCAGGGGAGCCCAGAGGTTCTAGGGTCGAGCCACTTGTCCGGGGCATTTCCCTCCCCTACAAATCCCCTTCATTTTCCCACCCTGATTTGTTTGCTTTGGGAAGAAGCCCAGAGGAGGAAAACAAACAGCAGCTGGGACAGCTGGCCTCCCCTGCCCCCCCAGCTGGCCCACAAGCAACAATTCAGTCCAGCCCGGAAGTAAGGGTTTTCCTCCGGAAGCCCAAAGACCCACTTCTCCCGGCTGCAGCCTGGCCAGTCCTGGCTGCTTGTGCTCCAGCTTCAGCCTCTACCCTCTTGGAACATCCAGTCTGCAGATGGAGACCATGGTGCCTGCCAAGGTTCCCTCTTGGAGCAGCCAGACTGAGGGGAGGCCTCAGCCTGAGGGGGGAGATGAGGCCCTTAAAAGAAGCAGCCATGTCTGTTCCTGTGCTTGGCTAGAGTTCATTTGTGTCTGTGTTTGGAACTGCTGGCCACACTCAGCTGGAGCCAGACAGTGTGGGGGCTGCTGGGCCCAGTTCCCCCTGCGGCTGCTATGTGGGGAATGCCCATGCCTGACCTGGCAATGCCCTTGGCTGCAGGAGGCGGCACATGACACGGAGGGGAAGGGGTAAACCAGGGTGTCCCCCTGGCCTGGAAGAAGCTCCCCTCCCATCCAGGACACACATACCCCGCCCCCCAGCCATGACCCCCACACACACACACTCGAGGGGCTTTGGCCTGGGGCTGGGAGGCAACCCCCCTACTGGGTCATCTGGGTCATGCCCTGGGTCCTGGGTCCCAGAAAGCAGATTGACTACCAGGCACACCCCCTGCCATCTCTGTTTCCCTAGTACAAGGATCCTTGCCTGGGCCTTTCCTGTTCACCAGGGGCTTCCAGCATCATGACTGTGTTCACATAACTCTGAAGAAAGGAGTAGCTGATGGCTCCCTGTTACAGATGGGAAAAGTGAGGCTTAAGGACACACAGCCAGTGAGTGATGGGGCTGGCTGCAGCCTCTCTCCTGCCTCCAAATCCCAGGCTCCCTGGCTCCTGCCCACTGCTCCCTTCCTATGTCACTGTCTGAGCCTGTGGATCTGGGTTTGCACAGGGTGCTGGCCTCTGGCCCAGGAGCCTCTGGGGGGGCCGGCCTTGCCCTGCTCCTCTAGTCCCCACATGCAAATGAGCCCGAGGCTCTGGGGCAGCTCATTCCCATCCTGGTTTCCAGGATGGGCTGTGTCCTTTTCTGGCTGTCCGGCAGGTGCTGACAGGGGCGGGCATCAGACAGGTCTGGGAGCGTTATGTTAATGTCAGGGCTAGGTTACCCTCTGCTGGGCAGCCCTGGGTTTAGTGTCCAGTGCAGAGGAGGAAGCGGGAATGTGGGGCGCCCATAGCAGCCCCATCTAGAACAGGTGGGGGAGGGTCCTTCACACATCCTCTCCAGGGCCTTCTCTCTTCCTGTCCTTGAGCTATCCCCCACTCCACCCTGTGTGTCTGAGCTGGCTTCTTCTTCATGCCGCCAACAATAGAGCACACTGCCAAACAAAGGTCCCCCATTCAGCCCAGTACCCGCCCTGGCTCTGCTTCTGTCCCTCCCGGCCAGGGCGCATGGGCAGGGCCCACGTCTGTCTCTCCTGCTTCCACCCTGACTCTGTTCAGGGACATTGCAGAAGGTCTGACTCCAGGTCCAGGGTGGAGAAGGACCAAACTGGGTGCGGCCTCTTCCTCCCTGGGAACTGCAAAACCAGCACTTTGGTTTCTTGTGGGAGGATCTCCCTGGTTCTCCTGGGGAGCAGGTAAGGAGGAGAGTGGGGCTGGCTGACCATCCTGCCTGAGGTCTGACATCTCTGACATCCATTTCTGTTGCAAGAGTAGCTCTCCCTGTGATCCTCTCAAGCAGAGTCCCGGTGTGCCCTCTCTCTGCACTGCTGTCCAGCTCTGACCCTGCCCACCTTCGGCCCCCCCTTATCTGTCATGGGAATCGTGGTTTCTTACTTCTAAGTTGTAGACTTCAGTGTTCCTTTGAGATCACCTGGGCCATCCTTTCTGTAGACGAAGCCCAGAGACAGAAAGTCATCCCCCAAGGACACCCAGCACGTTTGTGGCAGAGAACCTGGGCCCTGCGATTTGCAGCCCGGAGCTCTTGCTTCATCCTGCCCCCTTGGCCACATAGGTTCCCTCCTCCCTTTGGCAAGAGGGCTCAGCTCCACCCAGTCCTGTCTAGTGCACCAGGTGCCTGTCCTCCAGGGATGCAGACTGTGTGAGCAGTGGAGCCTCAGTTTCCTCACTCAAAATCTGGAAACCAGAAAAGCCTGCCAGGGTTGCTTTGAGGGAAGAACGAGATTCCTTGGACAATAAAGGCAACCGGTCGCCCCCTCCCCCGTGGTATCCTTTGACCTCTGAATGGCCTCTGTCCCGCCCTGGGCAGCTGTCCAGTCCCAGCTTCTCTTGGCTCCAGGCCTGGGCTGCTGGGGGTGAGGACGGGCCTGCTGAGGGAACAGCTCTCCTGTGGCCCCTTTTGACCTTGGTGGTCTCTTTTGAGGACACAGGGCTGGTTAGGAGTGGTACTTGTGGCTTGGGAGGAGGCCCACTCTTCTCTGGCTCATGGAGAAGCCCCAAGGTTAGGCATTTTTTATCGATGGGGTTGGAACTGTCCGGTTTGTCCTGAGCCTCAGAGACTGAGGCCTGGCATCCAGATGTCAGCCAGGCCTTCTGCCCAGCACTTAGAGTGGCATTTAGAGGGCTAACACAGCTGTTTCCTGATAGTTTCAGCGTCCCTGTAAGTGCTGGGATGCCTAGTTTTCTCTGCCCCTCCCGGGGAGGTGTCTGTGACAGGCTCTCTGTTCTCTCTTGGGATCCGCCCTTGGGCCAAGGGGAAGGATTCAGGGAGGAGGTCAGGCAGGATTTTCCTGCCTTTGGCCATTCTCTGCTGCGGTGAGGGGTGTGGAGCGGGGAGGCTCCTCCAGGAATAGCCCCACTTAGCCAGGGCAGCAGCTGAGCACATCTGGCGGCACAGAACCTGCTTCAGGTTCTGGGCCTGCTTCTGTGTATCAGCTCGAAACTCTGAGTCACTGGGGTGGCGGGAGGGGAAGAAGTAGGCCCTGGAAGCTGGTCTGGCCCTTGCCCCTGCCTGTTGCAGGTGCTCGTGGCGGGGGAGGGGCTGTGCAATAAAGGGCAGCGAGACCCGAAGGATCCTTCATCATCCTCCCGGAGGGTGCTCTGGGATGTCACTGGTAGACCTGTCCCTGGTCCTCCTTGTTCCTGGGTGGCGTCCGGTTGCAGCAACCACCCACCCCAGTCCTCACCCTGAGTCCCGTCTCACAGCAGGACAGCTGTTTTGAGATAGTGGGTGCTGCCTGGCTTCGTGGGTGGGCCGCCCGCTGTCTGCTTGCTCTCTGAGGCCACACTGGGACGTGCAAAAGCCGCAGACTCAGTGTCACTCTTCTGCATCCAGTCCTGGCTCTGCCACTCCTGGGCTGTTTCCGTATCTGTCAGTGGGAGAACAGAGTTTGTGCTTTGAAACTCTGTGAGGTGGTCTGGGGGAGGTCCTTGGGGTCCCCCTTGCCCTCCTCCCAGCCACCTGGCCGTCAGTTCCTTGACAGTGGAGCCAAACTCAGACTAAGTGGCAAGTTCACCACCCTGGTACAAAGCAGGGCCCAGCTATTCGGTAGCCTCCAAGTGCCCCCAGGTCGCTGCAGAGAGAGGGAGGGCTTCTGCTGGCAGTGACCACTCTGGAGGCCTGCCCACTCCATGTTCCTAGCCTGGATGTGAGAAAACACGTTTTTTGTTTTTTGAGAGAGGTTTTTGCTATGCCAGAGAGATAAACAGTGAGAACTCAAGGAATCTACCCCTGGAGAGATCACAGCCCCTTCTCTTGCACTCAGAATTTGGGCTGCATGTACACACACACACACACACCTGTTGTGAGTTTCAAGCCACTGGGTCTGGGTCCCCCTTGCCCTCCTCCCAGCCACCTGGCCGTCAGTTCCTTGACAGTGGAGCCAAACTCAGACTAAGTGGCAAGTTCACCACCCTGGTACAAAGCAGGGCCCAGCTATTCGGTAGCCTCCAAGTGCCCCCAGGTCGCTGCAGAGAGAGGGAGGGCTTCTGCTGGCAGTGACCACTCTGGAGGCCTGCCCACTCCATGTTCCTAGCCTGGATGTGAGAAAACACGTTTTTTGTTTTTTGAGAGAGGTTTTTGCTATGCCAGAGAGATAAACAGTGAGAACTCAAGGAATCTACCCCTGGAGAGATCACAGCCCCTTCTCTTGCACTCAGAATTTTTGGGCTGCATGTACACACACACACACACACCTGTTGTGAGTTTCAAGCCACTGGGTCTGGGACTCGAACCGCAGTTGGCCATGTAGGAGCCCAGTGCCTCAACTGCTACATCACCTGCTAGCCCTGAGGAAACACCTCTTGGGGCCATTACTAAACAGCCATGGCCCACGACTCTTGAGTACCTGCTGAGGGCCAGGTGCCTGGGTGGGTTTTTGCAAATGCAGTCCTCACAGCAATCCTCACCTTGCAAGGGAGGTGGTGTTATCCCATTTTAGGGATGAGGACTGAGGCCCCCTCAGAGACATGGTTGCCCTGTAGCAATCAATAACTGAAACATGAACCAGTCTGCAGGACTCAGAATGCTGAAAGGCTTCTGGGAGCCCGTCAGGAGAGAGGGGACTTTGGGGTTGGGACCTCTGGGCCACGTGGGATCCTGCCTGACCTGTCAGAAAACCAGATCCCTGAGTCTTTGAGGGAGCCTGGGCTGCAGAGAAACCTGTCTGGCAGCTTCTCCGCCCCACCCAGTGTCCTGTCCAATGGCCAGGGTTGCTCACTGCCTTGCCTCTGCTGCCTTTGCCAGGGAGCTCCAGGGGCTGAGGGTGGGTCTGGGACCACAGAAGCTGCTGCAGGCCCGGAGGAAGTGTTGGGTCTGATTGGGTGGCAAGGTGAGCCCGTGGTTGGGTGGGGGTGTTTAGCCTTGTGCTGCCCCCCTCCACCCTGTGTGCAGCTATCTTGGGCTGGAGGTCAGAGATGCAAGCCCAGGACTCACACACAACTGGCACCCTTGAGACCCCACCACCCACCCCCAGGGTATCTCATCATGAGCGGCTCCTCCCAGGGCCTGGGGGTGGGAGGTGGGCTGGAGCCAGGGTGCCCTCGTGCCAGGATTCCTCCCACCCCCGCCAGCTGACTCCTGCCCTCCTCTGTGCCCCCAGCAGCCACAATGGAGGTGATGAACCTGATTGAACAGCCCATCAAGGTGACCGAGTGGCAGCGGA